CATACACACACACACACACACACACACACACACACACACACACACACACGAATACTACTCAGCCCTAAAAAAGAGTAAAATAATGCCATTTGCAGCAACATGGATGGACCTGGAGATTATCACTCTAAGTGAAGCCAGAAAGAGAGAACAATACCATAGGATATCACTCATATGTAGAATCTTTAAAAAAGACATGAACTTATTTCCAAATCAGAAACAGACTCACTAACATAGAAAACAAACTTATGGTTACCAGGGAGGGAAGGAGGTAGGAATGGATAAATTGGAAGTTCGAGATTTGCAGATACTACTACATATAAAACAGATAGACAAGTTTCTACTATATAGCACAGGGAACTATATTCAATACCTTGCAGTAATCTATAATGAAAAAGAATATGAAAAGGAATATACGTATGTATATGGATGACTGAAACATGATGCTGTGCACCAGAAATTGACACAATGTTGTAAATGGCACATTGTAACTGACTGCACTTCAATTTAAAAAAGTGTATGGTGGGGGACTTATGCTAAAAAATAATCGTTCTTCTGAAATTCGAGTTTAACTGGGTGTCCTGGATTTTTATTTGCGGAAAGGACAGGATGGGGAGGTAAGGTCAGGAACCCAGAGGCCCAGATGCAGGCGACTGCACTGGTCCAGGTGATTGTTGAGGAAGCTGGGAACAGGTAGAGGCAGAGGAGGGGAGAGAAATGGGAGGGTTCCGGGGAGATTTTGGAGAAAGAGCCCCTGTGACTTGCTGATGGGTCGGACATGTGCAGATGAGCCAGGAGGGAGGACCTGGGCTTTACCCTGTGTGAAGCAGGAGAGCTCAGAGGGGCTGTGAGTGAAGGAGGCCTGTGACTTGACTTGACAGACCCAGTCCGGGGATTCAACAACCACCCGTCCCCATAAATGGCCCCAGCCCGGGTCTCTCCCGCTCAGCACTGCTGACATTTGGAGCCAGGTCGTTCTCCATGGGGGTTGTCCTGGGCACTGTGGGGTGGAGCAGCAACCCTGGATGCCAGAAGCACCCCTGCTCCCCTTAGTCGGGCCAACCAATCCAACCAGACTTTGCTAGCATCCTCTGGAGGGCAGATCACTCCCAGCTGGGGATCCCTGGTTGAGGCACTGAGAGAGCTCACAAGGAGATGGGTCTGGGGTGCCAACTGGGGCAGGGTCCTGGAAGGCCTTGTCAGTTCCCTTTGTCCTCTCCTGGCATCTAGTGCTCTTTCTTGGGATAGGACAAGTGGATGCCTGCAGGGCTGGAGCGTGGTGAGGTTCAGGCCACATGCCACCCATGCCCCGACTCATCTGAAAACCATCAGCGTCAGACCAAGGAAGGACCTGCGTTAGAGTCTGATAAAGCTTCTGCTATTTAGACGTTTGGGCATTTAATTCCGACAATCTGAGCTCATGGGCAGCACTGCTCCCTCCATCAGCCTGCGGCTGTCTGAGTCCACGGGGCCGCTGGTGATGACAATGGGCACCTTGGCCTTCACACTGGTCATGGACCAGGGCAGGTGCACAGTGCTGACCAGCTCGTAGTGGGTGTTCATGATTTCACTGTCCTGCAAGCCGCCGCTCACGGACAGCACCGGCGGGAGGTGGAAGGCGCTGACGATCTTGGTGGTGTTGAAGGGTGTGATCTGGGTGTTGGCCTCCTGCCGGAGCAGCTCACTGCTGTCCATCCGAGAGCGTCGCTCCGCCTTGGGTGTGAAGCCCTCGTACTGCACGTGGGCGTAGAGGGCGAAGATGACCGTCTTGATGCACTTGCTGGTCTGGTTGTGGATCTCCGTGGTGAAAATGACCCTTTCCCCCGGCCTGAAGGTGTTTTTTTCCATCTGGATTTGCAGGCAGATGGTGCCCTGGCTGCAGCAGTTGTAGGAGACCTTCTTCTCAGCCTCCACAAGCAGAGGATTCTATAAGTCGAGGGAGGAATAGACACTTGTGAGGTCGCCTCCACCAGATCCGCTTGCCTGCCTGACAGTCCACCACTATCGCTTCTCCAAGCCTTGAGGCTTTTCAGTCTCTCCTAGTAAAAGGCGTGGAGATAGAATCCGGAGTCTTGGGGATTTTGCAGCCAAAAGTCATCTCCCAGCTTTGCCATTTAATCAGAGGGCTTTAATCTAAGCCCTTTGCCGTTCCGAGTATCAATTTCTTTCTCTGCAAAATAAGCTTAGAAATCCACAAGACCCTGGCTTTATCTCCAGCTCCATTATTCACTTGCCGTGTGACCTTGAACCAGTGGCTTGACTTCTCTGAGCTTTAGTTTTCTGGAAGACAGGGACTTGTCTCACAGCCTAAGCCCAAGACGTAGGGCTTACCCAAGTAGTTCAGATTTAAGAAGAAAATATTACGGGCTCTGAATCATGAAAAGACAATGGTAGAGTTGAAATTAGGTAACGTATTTAAATAAAAGCCTCAAAATGCAGCCTTAAACACGTTTCTCCTGTATAGCACAAGGGACTACATTCAATATCTTGTAGTAACCTATAATGAAAAACAATATGAAAAGGAATATATATATATGTATAGGTATGACTGAAACATTATGCCATACACCAGAAATTGACACAACATTATAAACTAACTGTATTTCAATTAAAAAGAACCCCTCAAATTCCAAAAAAAAAAAATTTGATTTGATGTGATGTGGGTGGGCTTACAATGACTGGCTCTACGCTTTTACTTCCTGGGCCTTCTTCCAGAGGAACTTGATACTTTTACAGGTATGTGTGTGTGTGTGTGTGTCTGTGTGCACACTCATGTGGGTGTGTATTCCTTTTAAGTGTACAAAAAGAGAATAGTGTAATAAATACTTCCAAACGCCCTTCCCACTCCACATTAGAGACGTCCAGGTGGTATCTTGAAATTGGCCATAATGAGGGTATTTACACCATGAAAATTGGCAGAGAGTACAAATCAGGGCTGCCCTGCACCAGAGCTGGTTGTTAACCCTTTACTAGCACACCATAGCCGTGTTCCTACTACCTGTTTGATCAGCATGTAGGACTTCTTCTAATTTGCTTAGATCTTGACTCACTTAAGAAGTAGAACATCAGAGATCTAGCTGAAGCCCCCAGGGACCCCTCCCCACTGTCATTCCCTGCTCTTCCTTCTAGGAAGTAACCATTATCCTGAATTTGGGGGCTTATCCTATCTATGCATGAAAAAAACCTCTTAAATGCTATTAGGAAATACAGCACAGATACCAAAAACCCCATGGAGCAAATGTGTAACTTTGTGAATTACTGTAATAACCATCCATGTCAAGAAGTAAACACCTGCCGGTTTCCCCCCAGAGTCTCTCAGTTGTGCTAAGCCTCCCACTCTGCCCTCAAACTGCAACTATCCTGAATTTTATAGTAATCACTTTCTCGGACCTCCACATTTGTTCTTTCACTACACACACGGAGGGACCGCAACAAGATACACTGTTTTAGTAAAAAGTGTGTAAAACGTAATATAACAAGCTCACATGTGACTTCCAGCCACCGCGAGAAATCAAACATTATTAGCAGTTCATCTGAAATCTGCAGGGTTCTGTGTGCTTCGCCTCTTTGCTCCCTGCCCCCTTCTCTGCACAGGTAACCATCATCAGAATTTGACATTTGTCATTCTCAAGCAAATGTTCATATTGTTTAGGAGTATATCTACATTCGATTGAAATGCACAGTGTTGTTTTACATATTTGAATGCTTTAAATAAATCAAGCCTTATATGTTTTCCAGCAACTTGCTTTTCTAGCTCAACATTCTGTGTTCACACTGGTGCCTGCAATCCTGATTCATTTGTTTTTACAATGGCACTGGTGTGTGTAGGAAAATTATTTATTTACCTGTCCCCCATCCATGTTGGACATGTATATTGTTTCCATGTCTTTGATGTCATAAAAGAGCTAGAAGGAGCATCCGAGAGATGCTTTTTCTTGGGCTTCCATGCAAGGAAGAGTTGTTCTACCAAAGACGACGTTACAGATGGCCAATAGGCACATGAAAAAAGGCTCACCATTGCTAATCATCAGAGAAATGCAAATCAAAATCACAGTGAGACAGCACCTCACACCTGTCAGAATGGCCATCATCAAAACGCCTACAAATAACAAATGTCGGCGAGGACATGGAGAAAAGGGAACCCCTGTACACTGGTGGTGAATGTAAACTGGTGCAGCCACTGTGGAAAACAGTATGAAGGGTCCTCAAAAAACTAAAGGTAGAACTACCATATGATCCAGCAATTTGACTGCTAGGTATATATATCCAAGGAAAACAAAAACACTAATTTGAAGATACATGCACTCCAATGTTCATAGCGGTATTATTTACAATAACCAAGATATGGAAGCAACCTAAGTGTCCATCAGCAGATGAATGGATAAAGAGTATGTGGTTTGTATGCACAGTGGAATATTACTCAGTCATAAAAAGAGTGACATTCTGCCATTTGCAGCAATGTGGATGGACCTAGAGGGTATTATGCTCAGTAAAATAAATCAGGCAGAGGAAGACAAGTACTCCATACAAACACTTAAGCGTGGAATCTAAAAAATAAAACAAATGAATGTATATAACAAAACAAACAGACTCAGATACAGAGAACAAACTAGTGGTTATGAGTGGGGAGAAGGAAGAGGGAAGAGGCAAGATAGGGGTAGGGATTGAGAGACACAAACTACTATGAATAAAGTAAATGAGTAACAAGGATAAATTATACAGTACAGGAAAATATAGCCATTATTTTGTAATAACTTTAAGTGGAGTATAATCTATAAAAATATAAAGTCACTGTGTTATACACCTGAGGCTAATGTAATATTATTAATCAACTATACTACAATGATGGGGAGGAAAATTTGCTCTAGGACACGGGGTTGACAAATTTTTTTCTGTAAAGAGCCTGATAATAAATGTCTTACACTTTACAGGCCACATACAGTATTTGTCATATATTATTCTTTTTTAACCACAACTCAGAGTTAAAACATAGAGATTTTAACATCGTGGCAAAACCCAGAGATCTGTATGCCCCCTACACATAGATCTATGAAAGAGAAAGAAGTTCCATGAAATAATGCTCATCCTTGCTACGTGTCTGCTGATAATTTCCATCTTACTCTATTCTACTCAGTTTATTTGTTTAAAAAATGTTGGTTGGACTCTCTGGACTTATTTTCCTGTTATTTCTAGCCTACTTCCTCTATTCTATTCTATTATTTTGTTTTATATAAAACAAAAATGTTGTAACTCACCAAACTAATTTTTCCTGGTAATTTCTATTTTATTTTACTCATTCAATACTGTTCTATTCAGCCCTACACATCGGTTTTATAAAAACAAACTTTGTTGCAACCCACTAGATGTATATTTTCTAGCACATTCTATTCTGTTCTTTCATTTAAAACATTAACCACCAAATGGACTTTTTCTAATGGTTTCTATTTAACTTATTTTATTCTCTGTTCAATTTTCATATTTTATATTAAAAACAACATTTGCAACCCATAAAAATTGATTTTTTTCTGACTTTTTAAATTTTGGTCTTGCCTCTTCTTCCATTTTGGAAAAATATGCTTTGCAACCTACTAAATGGATTTTGAACCCCACTAATGGGTCATGACCCAAGGTTTGAAAAACATTGTTCCCGATCCAGTGCCTTTCCTCTGCAGACCTGGAGCCGACCCCTGACCCCTTTGACCTCACCTCCTGCCCTCTGCCTCTGGCCCTTGCCTATCTTCAGCATCCCTACACTTCCCTTCCTCTGTGGAAGGCTAATTGCAGGCCACTTCATTCTAAACTCCTCCAGTCTTATTCGAAAATTCGCCGCATGCGTTAGGACCCTGCAGCCTCTAAGGGACTCGCTGCCCTAACTCAAGACCGAGCCGGTAGTTCCGTCCTGGTCCTGAAGGAGGTGCCAAGAGACATTCGTGGTGGTCCAGCAGAGACCCCACGCAGGCAGGGTGGCCAAAGGGCCCTGATCTCCAGGGATGTTGGGGTACAAACTTAACATCGATTTTCTGGATCTAGGAGTTTCTTGGGACCCCCTATATTCCCTTGGCATATCCGAAACTTTGAGGGGATTCATTCAGTCAAGCAGTATTGACTTGCATCAACGTGGTGCCAAGTTCAAGGCAAAATCCATGGCAGGGGAGACCAACACAGCTCCTGCTCTGGTCAGGGAGATGGATACATTTGTAAATAGCACATTTCTGATAGAGACAGTGGTGAGGCTGTGGCGAGGGAGTAACGGGAGTAACGGGAGTCGGGGTGGGGGACTCCCTGAGACTTGATAGTTAGAAAACGTCTTTGGGACAAGTCCTCTACCCAGTGGTACTGCCTGTTAGAAGAGGCAATGGGTCATATCTTTCAAAATTATAAATGTGCAGAGGGAGAAGGGGGTGTGGAGAAGCTGGAACCCTCGTGCACGGCTGGTTGGAATGTAAAATGCGGCAGCCATGGTGGAGAGGAGTCTAGCTCTTCAACGAAATGTGAAGCCTAGAGTTACCATCTGTCCCAGCAGTTCCACTCACAGGCATCTACCCCAGAGAAATGAACAGCTATGCCTACACAGAAACCTGGACGACGTATGTTTGTAGCACCACGATTCATAATAACCAAGACGTGGAAACTAACATCCATCAAGAGATGAATAGATACACAAAGCATGCTCCATCCCTGTACTGGAATACGACTCATGCTTCAAAAGGAACGAAGCCCTGACACTACAATGTGGATGAACCTTGAAAACATGATATTCGGTGGAATAAGCCAGACCCAAACGGCCACATGGTGTATGATTCCATTTATATGAAATGTCCAGCCCAGACAAATCCACGGAGACAAAGAGTGGATGGATGAGGTGTAGCCAGGGACTAGGGGAGGGGACAGGGAGGTTTGCGGGTGACAGCTAAGGGCTTCAAGATTTCTTTGGTGAGGTATAAAAATGTTCTAAAACTGACTGTAGTGATGGCTGCACAGCTCTGTGAACACACTAAAAGCCACTGATCATTTTAAACGGGTGAATTACAAGCTATGGGAAGTGCATCTCAGTAAAGATGTTAAAAAAAAAGTAGAAAGGGAAAAGTTTTGCTCCTCCCCCGCTCTCCTCCCAAGGGGCAGTGTCTTTGTCAGTTTCTCTGGTCCCTGGAAAGAGACGTTTGTTTGCTACACCTGCAAGGAAGTGCCTGCTTTTCTTGTTTTTACCACCAACGGCGCAGGCCAGACATACTGCTCTGAACTTGGCTTTACTCATTCAACCCGGTCACTTGGAGATGCGGAGCTGCCTCAGTCTGTCTCTGTCTCTGTCTGTCTCTGCTGTGTCTATAGAGTTTACCTCTGACTGTGTACTGCTACCTTAATTCCCTTAGCAACAGAAGTTTAAGCTGTTTCCAATTTCTTGCCACTACAGACAGTGCAGTGAGATGTCATTGCACACACATGTGAAAGGATAGAAGTAGGAGAATTTTCTAGAAGGGAAGTGGCTGGGGCATAGTGGATATTCATTTTAGTTTAGCTAGATATGGCTAAACTGCCCTCCATGGGGGTTGTGGCAGGACATCAGGCCATGAGCAATGCAGGTGACTGAAGATGTGGCTCTCGAACAAAGATCTGAAGGAAGAAGGGAAAGGCTAGGAAAGTCATACACAATGTTCTGGGCAGTAGGCACAACCTGTGCAAAGGCCCTGGGGCAGGTCCATGCCTGATGTGAGCAACAGTGAGGAGGCCTGTTTGGCTGGAACAGAGTGAGCAAGGGGGACAGAAGGGGGAGGTGAAGGCAGGGAGGGGACAGGGACATGTCGTGCAGGGCCCTGTGGGCCACGAGGAGAACTTGGGCTTTTACCCCAAGGGAGGTGGGAACCCTGGAAGGCAGAGGAGGGTCATCGCCTGATTCCCTTTGGCTGCTTTGAGAAAGACAGGCTTTGGAGGTCAAGACTCTACCTCTACTTGGACCAGAGAATTACCTCTGCCCTAGTCCACCAGCTCCTGTCCTCACCCTACCCCTAATAATCTGATTAAAACAAGACTGGGTAGTTGAAAAAATACTGTATTCTGATACTCTTAAAATGTATCTGTAATAACTCCCTTTGCTGCTGTCATAGTGATTTGAGTTCTTCCCACTTATCAGGCATCTCCTGTGTGAAGACATTGTGCTGAGTGCTGTGCACTCTTCACAAGCACCCATGGAAGAAAGTGTTATTATTATTCCCATTGTACAGATGGAGACAGCTGAGGCTCTGGGAGGTGCTGTTAATTGCCCAAGGCCGTTGGCTAATGAAGTGTCTGGCCACAGAGATCTCAAGCCAGGTCTGGTCCCAACTCCTGCCCTGTGCCCCCTGTATTCTAGATTAGCTTTCAGGGGAGGGCTGGAGAAGGGAGCTTGCCTGTTCAAGGTCACACAGGAAGCAGGTGGCCAAGCAGGCTTTGGGCTCAGGTCTGTTCACTTCAGGGCTGATTCACCCCTCTAAACATCTCATCCCCTGGAACCTTGTTCCCCTGAGCTCAGCTGGGTTAGAGATGATCCTTGTTACACAGGTAAGACTACTGGAGGCGGCAGCAGCAGTGACAAGATTGGTGGAGCATAAATATTGTGGGGCCACCCCACCGCTTGTGCCAGGCACTGGGCAAGGCCCTGGAACTGTGTCAAGTCTACTCACTGCTCTTTCTGAGACCTAGGCGGCAGGTACCACCTCTATGCCCATTTGACAGGTGAGGAAATAGAGGCACAGAGAGGCAACATCGCTAGCAGAAGGTCACACAGCAGGTGGATGGGGACGCTGGGATTTTAACGTGGACCTGGAAAACTAAAATGCCAGCCCTCTCTGCCACCACACTCTGGGTCCCTGGGGAGGTGAAGTGACTTTGGCCAACAGAACTCCACCCTCCCGGACTTCCGCCTCTGCAAAGCCGTCTAAAATTCTCTGCTCAGGTGACCCATGCCACTGTCCCTTCCTTCCCCTGGGACAGAGGCCACCTCTTTTCCTTTCTTTGTGGTAGGGTTCACCATTTCCATTATCAAAGTTCCCGGAGAGTCACCCAATGCCGAGGACTCTCAGCTCAGGAGGTCACAGTGGGGCCTCTGCTTGATCTTGATTTACCATGGGGTCTAGGACATTTGAGGCCCTGGGCAGCATCCCTGGACCCTGCCCCTTCAATGCCACTGCTCTCCCTTCCCAGTTGTGACACTCACAAATGTCTCCAGACATCACCCAGTGTCCCCTGTGGGAATCACAGAATCACCCCAGTTGAGAGCCACTGGCTTTGCTCCTGCCCTAGTTTCTGATTCACCTTTCGTGAACTCTCTGGGCAGGAGGAGCAGCTCACACCTTCCCTTCTTCTGGGTCGGGGCTTTCTCTGTCCCCTGCCCACCCGCCTCCCTCTGCCTCCAGGGAGCTTTGAGGACAAGCCCTCCCCCCACTCCTCCTGCATCACTACCTGCAGTAGGTTTTCTGCGTGGAAATCTGAAGTCCCTTGAACCAACAAGTACATTCGCTTCTTGGCTAGAATGTGCTCCCGGCCCATGCAGAAGGCCTGCACGAAGTAAAAGACATGGCCGATTTTGCTGGCGAAGGTAGAAGGGAGCCTGGGAGGTAAGTTGAAATGGAAGTCAAAGGTGTGGCTGCCTGCACTTAACCAATTATCTGAAAGCAAAACACACCAATGCCATCAGAAGGTTCTAGAATCTTTTTTTTCCCTCTCTCTTTGTCTATTGTCTTGATGAGGGTTGTTCTGTATCTGGCCTGTCTGTCCTGGAGCTAGGCTGAGCTATGTGATCTTAGGGACCGATAAAGCCTAGGCCCATAAACATTAGGCCTCAGCTGGGCTGTAGAGGGCGGCCCTGGGTGGGTGATGTGTCTGGGATGGTCACCCCGGACCACCAACCTGGACTTGCTCATCCCTGCTTGGGGCCAGGGAAACTGGAGGTCCTGCCTGCATGGTTTGTTCACACATTCATTCAACAGACACATCTTGGGGCTGGATTGTGTGCCAGAGGCTGTTTTAGGCAGTGTTTACAGCAGTGAGCAAGGCAGGCAAATCTCCCTGCGCTCTCAGAGGCTTGGCCTTCGGTGCACGGCATACAGTAGGTGCTTAGTATTTGTTTGAGGCTGATGCTTCTGAGGGGCAGTGATGCTTCTCTCGGAAATGGGGAAGGGTGGTATCTGATGCTGTAGGTAGTGTTGGGCGGGGGAGTGTTTTGGTTGAAAGAACTAACACTTATCATGCACTTACTATATACCGCCTCCTATTCTAAGCGCTCTACATGCCATTAGGTTGTTATGTCTTCAAGACAATCTTAGGAGGCAGGCCTTTTTCCTATTCCCATTCTCCAGATGGGTTAACTGGGACACAGAGAGGTGGCTGAATTGCTGAGTATGAGGGCCCAGCTTAGGTATCTGCAAGGCTGGTATCTCTTGTATCACTCATATGTGAGCTCATAAGTCATCTCTTTGAAGAGACCTTCCCTGACTACCCTCTCAAAATTGAAAAAGTCTAAAATTAAACTTTGTTTAGCCAACCATTGGCCAAGTGTTCTGCTTGACTGTAGACTACCTGGAGACACCCCCAAAAACACATTTTGGAAAGGACATCTCAGGCTCCCTGATGTCTGTCCAGCCCTGAGATCTGAATGTGGCAGAGTTGGGGTCTAGTTATTCTTTCCCTTGAAGATCTCTCCTGGTCGTCCGCCTCCTATCTCTTTCCTTGTGACCACAGGAACCAAGCCTCTGCCTGTTTCTGGTATCCCTAGAGGTTTGTTGGTTTGTTGATTGACTAACAGATGTGTTTACCTTCCCAGATCCAGGTTCTTATTATGGCTAGGGTTGGCTGCCAGCCTCGTCCTTACCCTCCACTGGGAACGTCTTTGTCTTGTGCACATAGTCGGCCTTGTTGTTGCAAATAACATCCCGGCTATAATCACGGGAGGCCCCAATTTCTTCATTCCACTCCACATAACCTCTTCCCACCAGTTCCACCTTCACTATGGGATGCACCAGGGTACTGTTCAGAGTTAGAACCACCTGCCCTTTTATGCTGGAGCCAGCCAGGTAGACTGCATCCTTGGGCAGCATTAATTCGATCGACTTCACCACAGACATGGGGGGTTGGGGTGGCAGAGAACCATCCTCCCCCCTCCCCCATGTCACTGAGATCCCCGGTTCCTTGGCCGCAGTGACATCACCTGTCTGTGACATCATCCAGCCAGGGTTCTGGGAAGGGGTTCCCAATGGCCATGATGGGTGGCAAGGTTGTTGTTTGGGGGTGGGCAATAGCTTGGGCATTTTAAAATCCTCAAGGAGCCCAGAGGGGTTTTCTGCCCCATCAGTTGGCCCCCAGTCACGGTGTGTACACCCCTCAGGGCTCATATATTAATACCTGGTCTGTGATTGTGAAGACAGTCATTTTCACTTTAATGGTTCTCTATTGATACCAGGCTGTGTTAGAAGGAAAATGGTAGCTACAGCCAGGATGTGAAATCTGCTGTGTCCTCAAGCTGTTCAGAGCACTGTGTGTCCCACCGAAACACAGACAGCATTGTGAAGCCCTATCTCCATGTCCCACTGACACGTGTCTTTATGCTTGCGTCTCCTCCATCTGATGGGAAATCCCTCTAGGGCGGGACTTTGTCTGCCAGATCTGGGGCCTGGTTCAGGCAAGGGAGGCCTATAAATGTTTGTTGAATGACTTCATGACCTTCCAGTGTGAATCATTTTGCAAAAGGGAAATGGTTATTCCTGGTCCCCAGTTTGCAAGTGGGCGAGTGCCTAAGTGTGAGGGACACTGAAACAGAAGAGGCTCTACAAGTGTCTGTTCTCTAGACGCTGGTGGGCTTCACTGTCTTTGTTGTTTCTTGATTTATTTGCTGTGATGTCTTTTGTAGACACCGACATCTTGTCTTCCCAACTGGTTGGTAAGTTTCTTTTGGAGATGCTTGGTCTAGTCTCTTGTTCATGTTTGTTAATGAACCCAACCAACCCTTCTGACTCTCTCAGAATGACTAGAGCAGTGGGGCCCTGCATCACCACTGCTCCAGTTCTTTCCTGCAGGGGAAACCAGATACCTCTTTCTGTGTCACTTAACCTCAGAGATCCAAGGAGCCTGGGCTGTGCCCTGCACAAAATGTCCATGAAGAAAACATGGTGTATTTCCTCTTTGGGCCAGGTTGGGTTTTTGCAACCACAGGGATAAACATAATATGCTTTCAACAGAAATAAGTCCAGTTCCTGGGGTAGGTGTCGTCAGTTCGGAAGATCTCATCTGCCTCTCAAGCTTGAGTAGGCCTGCTTGATACCTGCTGACACCTGCGGTGTAGTCTCATCATGGCTGATGGTTGAGCATCTAGAAATGCATTCAGTCGTGTTGACGGAGTCTGGCAGGTGGAGAAATTTAACAGTAGCCTCTGGACTTCACAGATTGGAGTGTGTTAGTTTCCTATGGCTGCTATAACAAATTACCACAAATTCCGTGCCTTAAAACAACACAAATTAACTTTCTTACAGTTCTGGAGGTCAGAAGTCTGAAAGGGGTTTTTAGGGGCTAAAATCAAGGTTCTGGCAGGACTGAGCTCTAGGGGTCTAGGAGAGACTCCCTTGTCTTTCCCAGCCTCTAGAGGCTTCCCCGCATTCCTTGCCTCTTGGACTCATCACTGTAACCTTCCACTGTCACTTTTCCCCTCACTGGACCCTCCCACCTCTCTCTTTCACTTATTAGGACCCTTGTGATGACATCAGGCCAGCCCAGATAATCTAGGTTAATCTCCCCATTTTACGATCTTGAGTTTAATCCCATCTGCAAAGTCCCTTTTGCCATGGAAGGTACTATATTCACAGGCTCCAGGGATGATGGTGTGGACATCTTTAGGGGACCATTCATCTGTCTACCAACCAGGGGAAATCAAAGCAGAAGCAGTGCCAAGATAGAAGAAACTCTACATGTTGTCAGAGAACCCTTGTAAAAACATAAATTGGAGCTCACCACTTTTCTGCTCACAGCCCTCCCATGCTACCCATGGCTCTCAAAAGAAAGACCAAAGTCCCCCGGGTGGCCTGCGAGGTCTTATACGACACCCCTTTGACCTCATCCGCTCCCGCCCTCCTCTTTGCCCCGTCCGTCTGGCTACACTGGCCTCCTTGCTGCTCTTCTTACATTTCTAAGCCTTTTCCGGCCTCTAAGTTTGCTCTTCCCTCCTCGACTCCTCTGTCCTTGGTTTCTCATCTCAGATCTCAGCTCAAATGTCATCTGCTCAGAGAGGCCCACCTCTCCAGCACAACTAGAATATCCTCTCACCCCACCCCCAACATGACTGCTGGTCACTCTCCACCTATTGTCCTGTCTTCATTGCACACGTGGTATCTGAAATGATTTGCTTTATTTATTCATTTCTTGCCTGTCTCCTGGGATAAGAATTTAACCTTCGGGAGACCACTAACAGGATCAGCCTTGCCCACTGTTGGGCTCTCAGCTCAGAGTACCTTGTCCGGTCACTTTGGAGATGACCAGCGAGGATCACTGTGTGCCCGCCAAGACTGGCCAGAACAGAGCAGGCAGGGCAGGGGGGCAGGGCAGCCCTGCCGGCCTGGACAGCCAGAAGGCGGGAAAACGAGGCGGGAAAAACCAGCAAACAAGCCCTGCGATGGGTAGGGTGGGGAACTCTGGCGGGCTCTGACGCTAGGAAATGGGGCTGGGGCATCAGGCCTGTCATCGGGGTGCAGGCGGTCTCCTGGGGGGCCGCCCCAAATTCTCCTGCAGAATTTAGACATTGATTCCTGCTTTCCTTGCCCTACCTGTCAATGAACGCCTGGTGAGAGGGGCTGATGGAACAGACTTAGGAGATCAGGGGGTCTCTACCCTGGGAAGGGTCCTTGCCTCGGGGTGGGGGGGTCCCTAGGGCTCCTGGAGGGCACGCTTATGGGGGGGCCCAGGTCCCGCCACCGGCCCCGTTGCACACTGGGCGCGCCCAACAGAGCGCGCAGGGCTGGGCGGGGCCGTGGC